TTGGAAGGTCGATCTTCCACGCTCCGTTGTTGGTTTCCCATGTGCAGCTGGTTGAGTTGTCGTACCGGAAAATTATTTTTCTTTAGGAGCCTCTCTCCAAATTTCACCAAGGCCGTAGATCCAGGGCAGTTTTTCCCAAGTAAAGCATCCTTGTATGATAATTTTAAGGAGTGCTTACGTTTTCTGGGCCTTCTTGGAGTTGTCCGGGTCCAGCAGGGTCTTGTTTCGCGGAGATTTTATTTTCCTCTGCGATTTTCCCGGGTAGTGGGTTGAAGAATTCACTCCACGATCCTCCAATTTTCGCATGAGGTGGTGTGGGGGTCGGAGTCATCTCAGTATTGGAGCTTGTGCAGACGTGCAACGAAGGCTGGATGACGGATTTCTCCCGTCTAGAGCTTTTTTCAAGCTCTTTCTTCTACTTCAACTTGAAGCATTCGTCAATGGTGTGACCACTTTTCTTGCAGTAACGGCAGATAGACCACTTTTCTTGCAGTAACGGCAGAACCGGAGCAAAGAGGGTGGGAGGGCTGGGAATTGAGGTTGTATGCAACCTCCATGTTGCGGCTTGTACCAGATTGTGACCGCTCCCAATCCGAATCGAGTAGGCGTGACCGTAGGTATTCAACCGTCATAGACTTGATGTCTTTCATGGTGCAAATAGTTTTAGTAAGAGTCTTGAACAAGCCCAGAAGATTGAGGATGATGAAGATTACCACCACCCATGATAGTAACTCGAAGCCAGCAGATTTAAGTTGGTGTGTAAGGTTTCCGACTCGATTGAAGTAGGAACGAAGACTTGTTGTTGGGTCTATCCATGTAGTGATGAAATCCCGGAGGAGAGCCACTTGTGCATGGTTGCCCGTGCAGTCGAACCGCGCCATGATGCATCGTGAGGGATAGTTGAGGATGGACGGCCGGCATGAGAAGATAGTATGCATGCTCCTCTTTTTCTTCATCAGGCAGCAAAGCAATCGAATGGGCTGTTTTAGGGGCTGCACCGCTGTTGCCTTCGGTAGCCTCTCCACCGCTGGTTGTGGAAGAGGAAATTGAAGGACGCGAAGAAACCTTGGGATCTCCAAGAAGGGAAAACAGCCCAAGGACGTTGAAGATGTAGCAGATCTTTTTCTTCCATGGAATGAAGTTGGAACCATCTGGTTCCAAGATGGGAAGGGTGTGCCGACCGAGAGGCGTCTCAACTTGAGCCATCAAGTGTGCAACGTTCACTAAGCTAGAAGCCTGGCTCTGATAGCATGTAGAATGAGGATAGGTGGACTTAGGGAACAATGAGAGAAGAAAAATATATCCTTAATAAGAAGATGGTACAAGCCTGAGAGGCTAGAGCAATGTCCTAATCCAAGGTTGAGTTCCAGAGAAGTAGGAGGCCACATATACGTGGCTGAAATCTTGAGGCTAGCTGCAGCATCTCTTAGTTGAGGGCAAGGCTAGCCAACCTTGCCAAGCTAGCAACTGAGGCCTCGTGTTGCACATGTGGGCCAGGCTGGAAAAATAGCCTACATGGCAGCATGTGGCATACCATAGGGGGCAGCAATGTGAGTATGGGATGAGTGGAAAGACGGCAATGCCAACTGTGACCACACTTCACTGTGGGTGAGTGTGGTGGAGTATTGACATGTCCTGGTGAGCATAATGAGAATGGAATGGGATGCTGCTGAGAGTTGAACACACGACCTCTAGGCTAAAGGTGAAAATCTACCCACTGTGACATTCTTGCTGCACAACAATATCCTCCATGCTTTCATGCGTGTCCGCAGCACAAGTGTGAGGATCTGGTTCAGGAAAGAGAAATCTATTGAATGAATCACCTGGGTACAGCTCGAGGCAATATATAGGCTCGACACAAAGGCAGTAACCCGATGTTACTAGAAGGTCCCACGGGTCGCGAAGCGTCCCGAACGGGTCCTTCCCAAATTCGGTAGAAGGCAATTCGGTCTCAACCAAAAAGCCTAGAATTCAGTGCACTCAACCTAGTTCGGTGCCTATAATTATAATAAATGTAGTAAAGGCAATAAACCTAGGAAATCAAGCAAAAGCATGCAAGATAAAATAAAAAAAAAAACACAAACAAAAAAAGAACTAAGCTAGATAATGCATAATAAAGCAGAATCAAGCAAGTAAAGCCCAGCACATCCGACATACTCTCACATGTCCCCCCCCTCAAAGCTGGGTGGCGTAAGATACACCCTGCTTGACAAGATAGCCCTTGAATGCACGGCGTGCGTTGCTCATATCAGTTTCTGCAACCCAACTGTCCTCTGACGGGTCATATCCCTTCCAGCGTATCAGGAACTCGAATGTTTTGCCGCGTCAATCGTAACGCGGACAGCTCCCTCTCCATCATAAGCGTCGCGGCGACGGAGGTAGGAGCGTGCAGCTCCTTCAGCACGGTCCATGCCTTTGGACCGCAATCAAACTCCGGCAGCAGGTGCATGACGTGGTGATGCTGGTTCAGCTCCAAACTCTGCGACATAAAATAATAGCCAGCCGATGCGCGCTCCTCCTAATCTTCCTGCAGCGCGGGGTCACTCGGTCTAGGCTCTTCCCCAATCATTAGTTTCAGCAATCCAATCTGACGGAAGTAAAGCTGCATTTTCCAGGCCCAATCATCATAGCCCTCACCATTGAACTTCTCGACGGTGAAATTCTTCAGCACCTCCTTGATCAGCGAGCTCTGGTTGGTTCGCGCTCCCCTTGGCGCCGAAACACCAGAATCTTGGCTGCCGCTACGATCTTGAGCTGAAGATTCACCAGCTCCCGCCGAGGTGTTGCCCGCCATAGCTATCTATAACGAGGATCACTATAACGCAGCTCTGATACCAGCTTGTTGGTGTAAGGGCCTAATAAACTCAGGCTATTAAGACTTAATCAAACTCAAAACCTCTCCTCGGGGTCACCTCCAAGGGTCCCTGGGTGCCTGGTACAAGACCAGCCCCTATCCTCGGGTCCGAGTTTGTAGAGAGAGGAGCCAAAATAACAAGAGTACCTTGAACGTCGCGCAGCGTGCCGTGCAACTTATCGATTGGATTAAGCTGAGAAGTCGCTATAACGAAGCTCGCTCCAAGAGCTTTAAAATAAGCCAAGTTGCCTCGCGAAAAGTTCTGCCATTACTAAGTTATGGCTCGGAGAGCGTTTGCCTAGCGTTGGAGTGCTAGCATATTAGCGTTGACTCGGGTAGCATTCCGCCATCGAATAGCGCAGAAACGAAACTCCAGCGAGGAAGGAATTCGCTTGAATCAATTGACTATATTCAGGTACAAACAGAGAAGGAATATATAGTTCTAGCTAGCAAGGACCTTGGGAATCAACCTGGGAACAACCAGGGATGATCCCAAATAATTCCAAGTAACAGAACCAACCTGGCTGGACAAAATAGCAGGTGGTAGGTTGATAAACAACCTCTGGTTCTGTTTTTCCAACCTGGGAAAACAACAACCAGGTTCAGGTTCTAAAACAGAACCTGTTTTGTCTTTGCCCAACCAGCCAAATGCTGGTTCCGCTGGTTTCCCCTAGCCCTGTAGCATGCAGATACAGACAAACAACATCCAATCTTCACCTAAATTGTACCCCTATAGTGCTTGCCCTGCTACACTATAGTCAACCAAACAAAACAGTACAATTTTGAGTTGGATAGAACTGGATCTGCGCAACCAATTTAACCAAACCGCAAAGCTTCCATCTTGGGTTTCTTTGCGAGCTCGTCCTTTCTGCTTGCACTATTCATAGCGCGTACAATGTTGTGCCGAAGCGCACATTGCGCGAGTACCTGCAAATGCATCAAGCGAAAATTGCGAAAACAAACAAACACACGAACATTCCATTCACACCCAAATGCATTCGCACACGCATACTCGTACAAACAGACGGCAGGATGTCGTGCAATGTGCATTTGCACCCAACAAAAATGTCCCATTTGAGAGAACTTATCGATCACCACGAGTATAGCGTCATGCCCTCGTGAGGTCGAAGGAAGCCCAGTAATGAAGTCTAGGCTGACAACTTGCCATGGCTGCTCTGGTACGGGTAGAGGCTGAAGTAACCCTACTTTTTTCTGCTTGATCTCTTCATCCGCTGGCAGGTATCGCATGAGGTGACGAACTGCTGCACGTCTGCTGCCATCCAGGGCCAGTAGTAATACTTTGCTATTCCCGATAATGTCTTGTTGCACCCAAAATGTCTTGCGCATGCTACGTTGAACTTCAAGAGGATCTGTCGTAGCGGGGCATAGTTTGGTACCTAAATCTTTTCTGAAGCCTTTCCTACAGTTAAGTCTTTCTCCCACTGTAACTGCTTCTGTTTCTGTGCTGTAGTGATCTCTGCGTCGACGGAGTACCCATGTTGGAATAGACCCTTGAGTAGAGGGTTCATCCCGTCGAGCTGGATGCCTGCTACATGTCCGAGGCAGCTCAACAATATCGTTGTGGAAGTGATTTTCAAGGAAGTCCACCCACCGCACCTGTCGTCGTGAGAGTGTCGGCTGCGACTTCAGGTATTTGAGACTGTAGTGGTCAGTGTAGACTGTAGTCTTGGCTCCCTCTAGGTAACACCTCCACGACGTGAAGGCTGTGACTATCGCTAAGGCTTCCTTGTCGTGGATTGGGTATTTTAGTCTTCTTACTGAGGTATGCGATGGGCCGCAAACCGCGTCCATGATCCTGCATCAGTACTGCTCCGACTGCCTGGTCACTAGCGTCTGCTTCCACCACGTAATCCTAGTCTGGATCCGGTAGGATGAGTACTGGCGCTGTAGTCAGTGTTGTCTGTAGCTGCTCCATGGCTTGCTGTTGAGGAGTATCCCATTTGTAGGGCGTATCCTTTTTTAGCAGGTTGGTCAGTGGCGCTGCTATCTTAGCATACTGTGGCATGAACTTGTTGTAGTAGTTGGCGAAGCCTAGGAACTATCACAACTCCTTGACGTTCTCCAACACTCACCATATTCCCGAAAAACTGCACATTCTTCAGGGCAAAGTCGCTCTTTGACAGCTTCACGTAGATTTTGTTTTTTTCCGCAGGATCTCAACGACTTTCCGCATATGATCCCTGTGCTCCTTCACGTTCTCAGAAACTTTCCACGATTTGACGGCTTCGATCTTCCGCGGGTCCACGTGTATGCCCTCGGCACTCACCATGTGCCCAAGAAACTGCACCTTCTTCAGGGCGAAGTCGCTCTTTGACAGCTTCACGTAGAACTTGTTCTCCCGCAGGATCTCGAACACTTTCCGCAGATGCTCCACGTGCTTCTTCATGTTCTTGGAGTAGATGAGTATGTCGTCCAGGTACACTACTATGCACTTATCTAACATGGGCCGTAAGATGTGGTTCATCTCCGCCGGGAATGTTGCTGGTGCGTTGCAGAGTCCGAACGGCATCACCAAGTATTTGTAGGAGCCGTATCTCGTACGGAACGCCGTCTTGTGGATCGAGTTGTCTGCCATCTTGATCTGCTAGTAACGCGACCGTAGGTCCAGCTTCGAAAACACTTAGCGCGTAGCTCTGAACTCGGCTTCTCCTCTAGTGCTGCCATCACCAGTGCTAAATAACCCGTCTTACTCTCGGTCATTGTCCGTTCGAACTGTGCAAGTGTCGTTTCAGGAACATCCCTTGTATCTTTCCAGCTTCGCAGCTCCACACGTTTCCCGTTGTTGTAGATGCACGCCTTCCGGTAGACCCCGTCTATCTCGGGGTTGAACTGCTTCAGAAAATCACGCCCCAAGATGAAATCTAATCCCATGATGTCCGTGATTGACAACGTCGGCTTCCATCTCAACGCCCCTTTTTGCAGCTGCAGTGTTGACTTGTCGTGGATGGGAAGCTTCGTACCGTCCACCATCGTTGCTGTAAATTTGGTCATCTCCGATGACTCTCCAATTTTATCCAACGTCCCGCAGTCGCACACCGAGTGGGACGCACCACTGTCCACCAATGCCTGGAGGCGACGGCCGCTGCAGATCACCTCGCGGAGTAGTGGTTGTTGCCGCTCTGAGTAGCTGTAGATGGTGTTGCTTATAGGATCATAGGGTAGATTAAATGTATCATTCCTAGGTCCTGAGCTCGAAGCTGCTAACTCAATATCAAATGTCACCTTTGTAGGGTTAGAAGGATTTATCCGAGGCTGGTACATCTTTTCCTGAACCTGGAACCTTCCTGTAAGCCTTTGCAGCTGTGTACGCTTCACCTGTGGGGAACGGTAGGGAACCTTAACACCGTGCTGCTGGGAGAGAATATTAATTCTTTGGAACGCTCGGCCCTTATTAACGCTCCGGGGTGAGGTCCCCATATTACCCGGTACCGGTATAAATTCTAACTCTCCTTTAAAAAAGGCTTCAAAATCACGAGAAGTAATATTCTTACTTGTCGGGGTGTACGGCTGGAGTTTCCCGGTCGGTGCAGGGTCTTGTTTCGCGGAGTCTCCTTTTGTCTCAGTGATTTTCTCTGGTGCCAGCCAGTTGTGACGTTTTAAATTAACGCCATCATATTCTCCTATTCGCTTTCTCCGAAGTTGCCACGTTGTCCGTTTTCTGCTTCGGGGGTGCCGCACTGTTCTTGCCCTTGAGCTCTGCAAGTGCTTTCTTCATTTTCCAGCACACCAAGAAATGATGATTTATAGCGCCGCAAAATTCGCACGTCTCATTTTTTGCAAGCCGTTGCTTCGCATCGCCCTTGTCTTTCTCCATCGGGTCGGAAGTTGTAGGTGGTGCCGATCGCTCTATGCCACTCTTTGGCTTGTTTCGTCGTGTTTTCGTAGTAGCTACTGTTCAACATGTCATACTGTTCGATCAGTGCTGACCGAAACTGCGCCCACATCCCTTCGCCTTGGACAAATTTATTGCTAATCCACTCTAGAGCTGGGCCTCGTAACAGTGTTGCTGCGAGCCGTATGCGCATCGCGTCTTGGATGAGGGGTCGTGCATCCAACGGCTTTGAAGTAAATTTCGAGTTCAGCTATGGATCAACAGAATTTGCTCCCTTTCACAATAGGATAGAATGCGTCTGGTTGTCTCGGTTTTGCTGCTTTGAGATTAGCTATAGCTGCTGCCGTTGTCGTAGATAAAATTGTCGGTGTCGTCGTCGTCACGGTTGTTGCTGCTGCGGCTACCGATTGGTTCGCAAGGAGTTTTTCGAGTCGTAGAAATGCTGCACGTATCTGCTCATGCTCGGCTCGTAACTCCACAATTTTCCTATAAAATTATCTCTATTTCCCTCCATTTGGCGATTTACACGAAATTGTGCGACGATAATGAATGAATTCTAGGTGTTGTTCGACTTACTGCGAGTCGAATCGACTGTAGAATCGACGAGCGCGAATTCTGTACGTCGCGCAATTCTCCATTAGTGAGAAAACCGGATCTATTGGGACTTGGAAAAATGTGCGAAACTGGTTTTACATACCCGAATCGGCGCTTTCGTCGTCGCCCCCGCGGTTTTATAAGGCCGGTTTTCAGCGGTTCAAGTTCTCGCGTATAAACTCGCTCTGATTACCCAGTGTGAGAATCTAGTTAAGGAAAGAGAAATCTATTGAATGAATCACCTAGGTACAACACGAGGCTATATATAGAACCGACGCAAAGGCAGTAACCCGGGTATTACTAGAAGGTTCCGCGGGTCGCGAAGCATACCGAACAAGTCCTTCCCGAATTCGGTAGCTTCAGTGGCAACCGAAATGCCTAGAATTCGGTGCACTCAACCTAGTTTGGTACCGAAAACTAAAATAAGTGTATTAAGAATAATAAACCTAGGAAATCAAGCAAAAGCATGCAAGATAAATTGAAGCTAAGCTAGAGAATGCATAATATGACAGAATCAAACGACCCAGCAAAGCCGTCGTACTCTTACAGCAAGTCCTTGTGGCTGTCTGAAGGCGTGTTAGAGGATGATTGTGTTGGTGTAAGGGCCTAATAAACTCAGGCTATTAAGACTTAATCAAACTTAAAACCTCTCCTCGGGGTCACCTCCAAGGGTCCCTGGGTGCCTGGTACAAGACCAGCCCCTATCCTCGGGTCCGAGTTTGTAGAGAGAGGAGTTAAGAATGACACAGCCAAAATAACAAGAGTACCTTGAACGTCGCGCAGCGTGCCGTGCAGCTCATCGATCGGATTAAGCTGAGAAGTCGCTATAACGAAGCTCGCTCCAAGAGCTTTAAAATGAGCCAAGTTGCCTCGCGAAAAGTTCTGCCATTACTAAGTTATGGCTCGGAGAGCGTTTGCCTAGCGTTGGAGTGCTAGCATACTAGCGTTGACTCAGGTAGCATTCCGCCATCGAATAGCGCAGAAACGAAACTCCAGCGAGGAAGGAATTCGCTTGAATCAATTGACTATATTCAGGTACAAACAGAGAAGGAATATATAGTTCTAGCTAGCAAGGACCTTGGGAATCAACCTGGGAACAACCAGGGATGATCCCAAATAATTCCAAGCAACAGAACCAACCTGGCTGGAAAAAATAGCAGGTGGTAGGTTGGTAAACAACCTCTGGTTCTGTTTTTCCAACCTGGGAAAAAAACAACCAGGTTCAGGTTCTAAAAACAGAACCTGTTTTGTCTTTGCCCAACCAGACAAATGCTGGTTCCGCTGGTTTCCCCTGGCCCTGTAGCATGCAGATACAGACAAACAACATCCAACCTTTACCTAAATTGTACCCCTATAGTGCCTGCCCTGCTACACTATAGTCAACCAAACAAAACAGTACAATTTCGAGTTGGATAGAACTGGATCTGCGCAACCAATTTAACCAACCGAACTGCAAAGCTTCCATCCTGGGTTCCTTTGCGAGCTCGTCCTTTCTGCTTGCACTGTTCATAGCGTGTACAATGTTGTGCCGAAGCGCACATTGCGTGAGTACCTGCAAATGCATCAAGCAAAAATTGCGAAAGCAAACAAACACACGAACATTCCATTCACACCCAAATGCATTCGCACACGCATACTCGTACAAACAGACGGCAGGATGTCGTGCAATGTGCATTTGCACCCAACACACCCCCCCTCAGCCTGCCGGCTGCATCCCCATCATTCCATGCTAGTTCATGCTCATTCCACTCATGCGCATACAACGCCAATGAGGCTCATCCACAAGCCTCTTGGTGAGAAAGTCTGCTGGCTGCTGATGAGTCTTGATGTAGATCGGATTCACCGTCCCCCTCTTCACCTCCTTATGCAGCCAGTGCCACTTGATACGCATGTGCTTGTTCAGCCCATGAAGCACAGCGTTCCTGGCCATCCCAAGAGCCCCCTTGCTATCACAAAACAGCGGCGTAGCAACTTTCTGCTCCTGGCCAATCTCAGCCAAATCATCTCCTTCACCCCATGGAACATCGCCATGTACTCTGATTCTACAGAAGAGAGTGCCGTCTCCGTCTGCTTCTTGGACCTCCAACTAACAGGTCCTCCCCCAACTACGCAGATGTATCCTCCCACAGATGAGGAATCCTCCTTCTCAGAAGCCCATGTAGCATCGGTAAAGCAAGTTAGAAAGAGCTTGCCTTCTCCAAGCCTCTCCCCCTTCTCTTTCAGCACCTCCACCCCTTTCTGCTTCACCTGTGCAGATGCGGAGTATTGAACTCCAATGCTTGGGTGAGAGTTCAGGTACTTCACCACACGCTCAGCTGCATCCACCTGCTCCTCTGATGGATTCTGCACCACCCTAGCCAGCTGCCCAACCGAGAAAGAGATGTCGGGCCTCGTGTGAACTGCTGCGTACAAGAGGCTGCCCACCAAGGACTGAAATTGCTGCTGCTCCTCGGCTTCAACCCCTTCATCCTCTGCAGCCTTCACAAGCTTGAATTCTGCTGGCAGGGGAGTTGCAACCTTGTGCTCATTCTCAATCCCATACTTCTCCCCCAGCTCCTTGATGAACTTCTCCTGGTGCATTTTCAACCACCTGTGATCAGGATCCCTCTCCACGTGCATCCCGAGGTAGTACTTTACCTCCCCAAGGTTCTTGCACTTGAAGTTGAAATATCCATCTGAATGATGAATTTCCCACTAACAGCTGCATCTGCCAACAAGACACGGAGGGTAGGGGGTTTGGCAGTGGGAGCAAAGATCTCGTTGAAGTCCTGCTTCTCCTTCTGCATAAACCCCTTCGCCACCAGCCTACTCTTGTAGATGGTGACCTGCCCCTTGTCATCGGTCTTGATCCTCAGCACCCACTTGCATTGTATCGCTTTCTTCCCATCAGGCAGCACCATCAGATCCCATGTCCCATTCTCTAGCAGGCTCTGGTACTCAGCATCCCTAGAAGCCAGCCACTTGTCCATATCTGGTCCAGCTAGTGCCTCCTCCATGCTAGCTGGTTCCTCTGGTGCAGGGGCAAGAAAGCAGTACGCGAGCTCGTCCTCCTTATCCGGGTCATAGCCATGAGGTAGAATCAG